CAGGTTCCAAGAGGGTACCGAGGTAGGACAAGGAGGGTTCAACCTCCTCGCCCCTCTAAGGAACCTGACGACCAGGTTGTGCTTACCAAGAGACTTACCATCAACTGCATCGTGATATGCGGCAATTGCGGCAACATACACTTTCAGGGTGGAGGGAGACAGCCTTCGCTCCAACCTCTCTTGCAGAAAGGAAAGCACGACTCTGACCGGACATCTTCGGGGGTCTTCCCGGTGGAAAGTACACCAATCAACGAACAGGTTCCACTTCAAAGCATAGAGGCGCCTCGTAGAGGGAGCTGTAATGGAAGTGATGGTGTCTACCACTGATTGGGGTAGGTCACCTAGAACCTCCGCGTCCCATCCAGGGACCAGACATGAAGTTTGAAGACATGAAGAGGTCTGGACGAGGTGCCATGGGGTGCCCCTTCTCTGGGAAAGCAGATCCTTCCTCAGAGGAATGGGTCAAAGAGGGGCTGTCGCCCTGGGGCCAGCTGTGCACCAGCGCATCCGTGCCGAGGTTGCCCTCGGTCAGGGAATAAAACAGCTGGCAATGGGTCGAGTCCGGAGAGGCAAACAGGTCTACCTGTGCTGCTCCAAAGAGGTTCCAAATCAGCTGGATCACCTGGGGATGGAGCCGCCACTCTCCCAGAAGCGCAGGCTGTCGTGAGAGCTCGTCGGCTGCACGATTGAGCATGCCAGGGATGTGAGCGGGAGCGTAGACCACCCTGGCGGTTGATGTACACAATGGTTGCAGTATTGTCCGTACGGACCAACACGTGCTTGCCACGTAGCAGCACTTTGCGGCGGCCCAGCGCAAGACGTACTGCTAGCAACTCGAGGCAGTTGATGTGCCAATGCAGTTGAGGCCCCGTCCACAGACCCGACACTGCATGCCCATTGTACGTGGCCCCCCAGCCCGTGGCCGAGGCATCTGTGAACACCACAGCATGCCTGGACACTTGTTCCAGGGGGACTCTCGCCCGTAGAAAGAAGGGTCTGACCACGGGCTGAAGGTTTGGCGACAGTACGGGGTGATAGACACCTGGTGCGTGCCGCTCTGCCATGCCCATCTCGGGACTCGGCCGTGAAGCCAGTGCTGAAGTGCCTCATATGAAGCAACCCGAGCGGCGTTACTGCGACCGCGGATGCCATATGCCCCAGGAGCCTCTGAAAAAGTTTCAGTGGGGCCGCTGTCCTGCCTCTGAACGAATTCAAGCAGTTCAACACTGACTGGACGCGCTCCTCTGTGAGTCGCGCTGTCTGGTAGACCGAGTCCAACTCCATACCGAGAAAAGAGATTCTCTGCACAGGGAGAGTTTGCTCTTTTCCCAGTTGACCCAAAGTCCCAACAGGCTGAGGTGATGAAGCACCATGTCCCTGTGTTCGCACAACTGGTCCCGAGACTGTGCCAGTAGTCGAGATAGTTGAGAATGCGAATGCCATGTTCTCTGAGTGGAACAATGGCTGCCTCCGCGACCTTTCGTAAAGACGCGAGGCGACAGGGACAGCCCACAGGGTAGGACCTTGTACTGATAAGCCCGACCCTCGAACGCAAACCGTAGGAACGGCCTGTGTCGAGGGAGAATCGAGACATGAAAGTACGCGTCCTTCAGGTCGATCGCTGCAAACCAAAAAACGGATGCACTCGAAAATGCGTTTTTGCGTTAACATCTTGAACGGGAGCTTGTGCAGGGCCCGGTTCAAGGTTCGCAGGTCCATGATTGGCCGTAACCCACCACCTTCCTTGGGCACAATGAAGTAGGGGCTGTAAAACCCTGCCTTCATATCTGCTGGAGGGACCGGCTCAATCGCGTCCTTCGCCAGTAGGATGTCGATCTCTGTCCGTAAGACAGGGGCATCGCTGCTCCACACAGAGGTGAAGTGGATGCCCCTGAACTTGGGCGGCTCGAAGTGGAGTCTGTGTGTGTTGTGCCACACTTACCTGGTTCCAGGGTGGGGCAGAGGGTGTGAGAGAATGCCTGGTGGAGTCTTCGACCCACACACTGCTGCCTGCCGGCGAAAAGAAAGGGGGAAGGGAGTGGCAAGGTGTATGCAACACGTCACACACTGCCAACCGCGCCCTCTTGTGACCCAGAGATAGAGGAAATTGCTATTTTTTTTTTAAATGTGGGTACTGCTGGACTCCGAGGAGCCAGTGGCGAAACAAAAACAAAAGGAAACAAAGGATTCTCCACCCGGCCCTCCTCCGGGGGAGGGAGTGGTCCGGACACCATCTCCCGGAGAGCAGATCCTCCCATCTCTGGGTCGCCCGTCTCAGGGCCGCTTGCCCTTACGCTTATCGCCTGGTTTGGCAGGTGCCTGGACGGGCTGGGCATTCCCCTTGCGGCCAGCCGCCTGCCGCCTAGGTGGAGGCTGCTGCTTAGACTGAGCAGGGGCGGAGGTGGCCACCGGGGGGTGCCCTCGGCGACGAGCAGATGAAGGCGCTGCAGCTGACGACTAGGTGGAGGCAGCAGCTGGTCGTCGGGACAGGATGTGCTTAATCGCCTCCGTCTGCTTCTGTGCCGCTGAAAACTGCTGGGCAAAGTTTTCAACAGCGTCGCCAAAGAGGCCTGACAGACAGGGGAGTTGTGGAACCGTACTTTGTCGGGCTCACGAATATCTGCCAGGTTCAGCCACAGGTGGCGCTCCTGGACCACTAAGGTGGACATCGCCTGACCCAGGGAGCGTGCAGTGACTTTTGTCGCCCGTAGAGCAAGGTCCGTCGCTGCACGCAGTTCCTGCATAACCCCTGTGTCAGAACTACCCTCGTGCTGTTCCTTGAGCGCTTTGGCCTGGTAGACCTGCAGGAGCGCCATGGCATGCAGGGCGGAAGTGGCTTCTCCACAAGCTGTGTAAGCCTTGACCGCCAGAGAGGACGAGAACTTACACGCTCGGGAGGGGAGACGCAGATTACCCCTCCATGAGGTAGTGGTCTTGGGACACAGTTGCATCGCCACAGACCGCTCCACTGGGGGGAGCTCCACGTACCCCTTAGCCGCCCCGCCATCGAGGGTAGTGAGGGAGGAAGAAGGACCAGACCGGCTTCGGGCAGAAAAAGGTGCCATCCACGATTTAGTCACCTCTTCATGCACCTCCGGAAAGAAAGGTACTGGAGCAGAGCGCTGAGAACCAGCACGGGCCGCTCCAAGAAACCAATCGTCCAGCCGTGAGGGTTCGGGACACGGTGGAGGGTTCCACTCAAGCCCGACACTTGCGGCGGCCCGGGAAAGCATAGTAGCCATCTCTGGGTCTGACTTGGGCAACGCTGCCACACCCAAAGTGGGCAGCGCAGCCGAATCTTCATCCCCGGAGGACATACACTCACCCTCCGATGCAGCGAACAACATCTGGTCCTCTGGGGGATCCCCAAAAGTGACGACTGGTGGCCCAGCATGCCCTCTTGGAGGCTCCACTGGTTGCAGTGTCATGGAGGAGTGAGGAGTCCGAGGACTTTGACTCGGCGGGGTATTCCTCACTGTAATCCTCAGGTCACCTAGGTTATTAACCGAAGTAGGCTTCCTCTGAGCTGGCCCAGAAGAAGAACTAGATCTGGGAATATACGAAGGGGCTCCAGTCCTTTCAAGATACTGGAGTCTCGACCTTAACACCGAGATGGTCCCTCAATGAGAACATGTACCAGTAGCGACCGCATCCAGTAGCACACGGTCTGAATGACATATTGAAAAAGACGCAGGATCTCTGTGTGTGTGCTCTTTTATAGGCTTCTTCTGAGCTGGCCCAGAAGAAGAACTAGATCTGGGAATATACGAAGGGGCTCCAGTCCTTTCAAGATACTGGAGTCTCGACCTTAACACCGAGATGGTCCCTCAATGAGAACATGTACCAGTAGCGACCGCATCCAGTAGCACACGGTCTGAATGACATATTGAAAAAGACGCAGGATCTCTGTGTGTGTGCTCTTTTAGGAATTTGCTCTCTACTGGTGCTGAAACGCACAGGGGAAATGGCCACGGCTACATAACAGTACAAATAGTGCAAGCCTGTTGTGAGCACTCACACTCGTTGAAGGCGCACTCTCCAGCGAGCTGTGAGAACAGCTGTTTTTGCTCTCTCATGAGATCGTGACCAACACTGTCAGTGCAGTCACACCCGCACCAGACACGCAGAGGCTCCTTCCTAAACGAGCAGCTTGTCTTCCACCACTTTCCAAAGAAAACACACGCGCAGGAACAGCACGTGTTCGGCTCCGAAGCGAAAAGCAAATATGCGACGCACCGGCTGCTCATTAAATACTCGCGCTGCAGCGCAGAGCAGCTGTGGCAATTATTGCATGCCAATGTGCATTGGCTCGTTTTTCTTACACTCGAAGTAGATTGGTCTCCCAAAGCGATCCCCAATTTGTCGGTCAGTTCCGACATACGTCGCATGTGACCGACTGAAAGGGAACTGAATTTGGTTTTTTTGCTCTCTCGTGAGATCGCGACCAACACTGTCAGCGCCGTTACACCCGCACCAGACACGCAGAGGCTCCTTCCCAACGAGCAGCTCGTCTTCCACCACTTTCCAAAGAAAACACACGCGTAAGAACGGCACATGTGTTCAGCTCCGAAGCGAAAAGCAAATATGCGACACACCGGCTGCTCATTAAATACTCGCGCTGCAGCGCAGAGCAGCTGTGGCAATTATTGCATGCCAATGTGCATTGGCTCGTTTTTCTTACACTCTAAGTAGATTGGTCTCCCAAAGAGATCCCCGATTCATCGGTCAGTTCCGACGTACGTCGAACGTGACCGACTGAAAGGGAACTGAAGGTGACAGATAATGTGTGTGAGAAAAACACAAGCTTGACAGATTCAGATGGGATTTAAAACAAATTTCTCAAACAAATCCCATAGGGCTTTTGTCAAATTAGATTTCCTGCAGTAGCTTAAGGAAACTGAATGAATAGCTTCCAAAGTGAAATTTGTATCAGCATAGCTTTACATGTATTTATTTAAATTGTTTTGAACACACAGTTTTTTTTTTCTGGCTATGTTCAGGTGATCCAGGAGAAAAGGGTGAGAAAGGAAATCAAGGACGGTCACAAATTGGAGACCCAGGTCTCCCAGGACCACCAGGTGAGCAGATGCAGCACCACTACTAACATATACAATTTTTTATATTTGTTTTGCCCTGAGATTACATTATATAATGTTAATACAATTTTTTGTTTGTTTGTTTGCAATAAATATAGTTTTCCATAACAATTCCCCACCCTATCTGGCCTTAACTGCCATGAAATGAGCAACAGCTCTTCACTCTACTCTTGTTGTCATGTGTAATATATTTTAACTGCTCATTGGTCGATAGCATTCTCTTTGCAAAGGAAGGTTATAGTTTCCATAGTACTTCAAACTAAATTTAATTAATGAAATGGCATATTTAATAATTAATGAAGTCAAGTAATATAGGCAGTGAGGTTATTTTACAGACACATTATTTTGTTTCAGGTCCAATGGGTCCACAAGGGCTCGGAAAACCAGGCCACCCAGGAAAGCCGGGCCCACCTGGTCACAACGGCGAGGAGGGGAAGAGGGGGCATCCCGGCGAGCCCGGTCAGCCAGGCGTGTGCCATCTTTCCATGTGCTACGGCGCAATGTTGCGAAGAGATCCTTTCAGTAAAGGGCCAAACTATTGACAGAGCTTTGGCTGAAATGCAGACAGTCTGGATGCGGTGCTGCTCAGTGAATGAAAGGAAACAATAACAGCGAATCTTTCCAATCTCAGGATGATCAAATTTTTCAAGAGTGTTTCTCACTCATGGACACATGAAGTACCTCTTAAAGTGTAAATAACAAGATGATGTTATCATCTACATTATCACCACCGATTGTCCATGACTCAGTTCAACACTTGTCTTTCTGTGTCACAAGCTGAGATGTGCCATGATTTATTCACGCTGTTTGTCATGTGGCATGAAACGCATCAGCTGAATACTTGTGAAAAGCATCCAGTGTGAGGAGTTCTACAACACTCGCAGTGGAAATTCTACCTAGACATCGACTTTACTTCCTCAATCTCTTGCTCCCCCAAGTGGCGTTCATCCATCACCAGCCAATCATCTCGTCGTATTTATAATGCTAGATTTACTGTCTATTTTGCATTTGTGTTTCTTTTTGGTCAGATGTTTCTTTTGCTGCTTGCAAGCTTTTCATGGGAGGTGTGGGAGTTCTTTTGTAGCGCTTTATGTTTTCTTTCCTATATTGACGTCTCTCAGACATCCATGATAATTCTTGTCCATTTAGGTATTATTACAAGGGTTCCCACATCTTTTGACCAATGAATTTCCTTGTTTTGTTTTTTTTCTAGACATTTGTGATTACAGGAAACAAAACAAAAAAATCTATCTTAAAATGTTTTATTCTATCCTGTAATATTTTAGAGAAAAAATATATATGTATATTCACTATAGAAATGTCCACGCCTTTACCAGGCCTGGGGTCACAATTTATAATTCTCTGATATTCCAGGTTTTCCGACTGTTTACTACACTTAAGATTGCAAATGTGAGTGTGATTAAATCATATCTATATTAAATATTTAAAAAAAGGTAAATTGAGCAAATTTATGATATACATTTTAATCCACCTTTACAGCAGGTTGTCATGAAATACACAATTCTGAAAGCTGTTTATCTTTTACCCTTGGTCGATAAAGGGTGTGTAGTAGAGTGTAATAAAGCTCACCTTCCCATAAATGTATAATTTGTTTTTGTTTTGTTATTTATAAGAACTGATATCAGTTACAGCTTCTCCTGTGAGAGCACTTTCTTATTTTTGCAGTGATTTTTTTTATTCTAACTTTCATGTGTTTGAATGACTTTTGATAATATTAATTAAAATCTTTTTTATTATTTTTGTTGTTGTTGCTTTATGTTCTGTAACAAAAAGGCTATTACTTATGATGTGGAAAATGTTTACTCTAGTTTCCAGCATGTGTTTCGCAGCATTCTTATAATGTCCCATAACAAGGTCATAAATTAATAAGTGTTTCATATAAAAACTGAAAATCTCAGTGTGTGGGGCACATTGGAGTCCTACACCCTAATTTTATTTTATTTATTTATTTATTTAGGTAACAGCTGATCTAATCAAATTTAGATGATTACTGAGGATTACTGTTAATAGATTGTTGAAATAGGTAACATAAAATGATGAGACTGCATATACAGTAACCATTAAAGCTAAAATGCTACTAAAAACTTCTACGTTAAAAATGTTGCTCTCCTGCAATTCCACTCAGCCCGAGCTCCAGTCCTAGATGTCGCTGTTGCTCTTTCTTACATTTTGGATGGTCCCTAATATTAAGACTTGCCCTTTAGGTTTTCATTCGGGCTTACATCATTGGATTTTTATAGTACCAGTCAGTTTGCAAACTTGTATTAGTATTACAATTGCAGTTGTTTGCCATTTTAGAAGTTGAAATAATAATAAGAGATGTCCAAATTAGATGCCCAAAGGAGATGTCCTATTGCTTGGAAAAGTGCACTCAGTTGTCGCCAATAGACCGAGCAACACTGAAATAAAGCTGACAGGTGTTTGCCCGCCTGGACGTTTCCTTTGACTAATCACGAAAGGTCTCATATTTCAAGTGTCTCTCATTTCACGGTGAGCTTGCATTCATGCCTCAGGTCAACGATGTTTTATATACGACCGCTAGAGGTTGATGCAAACCCTCCAGAGTGTGGGACGGACTACTGCTTTCAACACTTTTTTCAGGGATGTAGTCTTCCGTCGGTGCATGCACAACTTGAGCTAGTTCAAGCACTGAATCCTGAAGTTGTGCGCTTTTGCTCCCAGGCGGTCGGTGCTGGTTTCAGTAAATGCACAGGTGAAGAGTCCTTTGTAAGTTGTTTCTCTCTCTATTTGTACATTATTTGTATGATGCTAAACAATTCAATTCAGCATTCGATTCAGTTTAATAATAGTGAAGATGTTGTCTAAGAACGGCACAGCGCAAGCAACAGCTGACCTGAGGTATCACCTTGAAGCCTAAGAAGGAATTCATTCTAGGTTTGAGAGGAAATACGGAATAAAGACTTGAATCATATAGATATTGAACAAAGTTAGCTATTAATGGTGCACCATGGAGAGCACCATCATCAACCCAGCACTCGCTTGGTGAACGCATCATCCTGAGAGATAAAGATGAGAGCGCCAACATTTGGACTTCTGTGGAGCTGTCTCGGTTTTCTTCACGGCGTTCAGTGCGGTTTAGGAGACAACCATGTGCATTCGAGCTTTATTTACAGGCGTTTGCGTAACCACGAGCGGCGAGAGATCCAGAGAGAAATCCTCTCCATCCTGGGCTTGCCTCACCGTCCCAGGCCCTTCTCCCCGGGTAAACAAGCGTCGTCGGCACCGCTC